TAAGATAAATTTATTTTAAAATAAAAAATATATTTTAACCAACATTAATATTTAAAAAGTTATTATTTTAACCAAAATTAAGATAACCACATTTTTTGTACAATTAAAAACATCAACTAACATAGAATAATCATCAATTAATTAATAATTACATTTAGAATTGTTCAAAGATGGAAATTGTGCAATTAACTAACATAGCTCACGCAAGTTACCAAAATTAGCTAACATAGCTTATACCAATTAAACAGATTAAAAAATTTAAAAATATTTAAAAATATTTAAAGATCGAACTATAACGTTGATCTTGCATATCAATTAGTTATATTATTTTAAATAATTAGTATAATTTTTAAATTCTTGTAAATTTACATTATATTTAAAAATCTTGTAAAATTTCTTAATTTGATAGTTGGGAGATGAAAGACATATGATAGTTTGTAAAATGAGCTTAAACTTTTATATATTGTTAGAGTAAACAAATTTATACTATCGATTAAAAATTATATTAAATAATAAATATAATTTTTCAAGTAATTTTTATAAAAATAAAATAATTTTATCATAAATTATAATATATGATCAAATGAAAATATATAAAAAAATCTTATTTAAAATCACATTGCATTTCAAAACCTTGTATTTTATTTTAAGTGATTAATTTGGTTAAAATATATTATTTATTTGGTTAAAATTAATGAAATGCCAGTTTATTATTTATATATAAAATAAAATAAAAAATAACGTTAAAGTCAATTTTTTTTTGCTTTTGACTTTCATGTGTTTTTTAAAATAAAATAAACAAAATTTCATATGATAAAATCAAATAAAAATATTCAAACGAAAATAAAATAAAAGGTGCAAAAACATGAAAAATTAGAAATTATGTCAAAAAGATAAAAGTTATTGGTTTATGTTGTTCTTGTCTACGAAGAAAGAAAAAGTTCAATATTTGCTGATGTTGTGCCAAGAGATTGATCTAATTAATTTGCATAATTTTTAGAGTTGAACTATTAAACCTTGAGCTAGTACTTAAATAGGTTTAATGATCGATATGATTTTTAAAATATTGTAAAAAATGATATAAATCCATACTTGAAAAATTATATAACATCATACGTTATTTATAAAAAAATTTATGTAGAGTTAAATCATTATATAAAATAAATAAATAAAGAAAATTAAGTTAGTAAGAATTTTTCTTGTTAATTTTGTTAGAAAAAAAAAAAAAAAGAAATAATGTGACAAGTGGGGGGCTAAGCCCCTTGAGGCCTTGGCCCCAACTCCTTTTTATTTGGGATTTTGTGTGTTGGGAGCTTTAAGCCCATCCATTAAGCAAGACTAAAATAAATAGGACTTTTATGGGAGGGGACATGGGCTAAATTAACACCTCTAAACCCATCTTTACTAGTTGTCAACGACTATTAACTATGAGAATGATTCAACTTCTACGACTTGTATTTAGTCCTAATAAGAGTGCATTCAAAATAATATGATAGATAATTTGTTAATAACATTTTTTAATTAAAAATGTTTGTTAGATGAATGTGAAAATGGATGAAGAAGATATTATAGATTTAAAAATAACTAAAATAAGATAACAATTAAGGATTAAAATCAAACCAAGTTTTATGAGAACTAAAAGTAAACTTTGAATTTTGCAAGGATTAAAATCAAACATATATATAAATTTTATAGGGACTAAAATCAAAATTTTAAAAAAATTTCTCTTGTTTAATGTGTTGTTATACTAGTGTATGACATGTTAGATTGTTATATGTCACATTTGATGTGACGTGTAACATTATTGTCATGTCATTATCAATTAATGTTTAATTGATCGTAAGAGAAAAATTATTCTTCACTAATATATTTTATTTTGATCATACTATTATGCATCTCTCATATTGAAGACTTAATATCTTGAACATGAAATTTGTATGATTGAACTTTTGCGAGTGATCCAATAACAACAAATGACTTGATAAATCTAATAATAATCATTAGGATGCACTATGATACATATTACAAAATAGATTTTTGGGTTTTATTTAGCCTTAAAAAAATAATTTTTTAATGTGAGAATTGTCTCCTATATTTATATATATATTATTAAAATTACCAATTATGAATTTTTGTTATGAAATCAATATAAATAATGTAGTATTTCTTAATTTGAATATTATATAAAATTGAATTAGAATATATATTAGTTCTATCATTTATTTTGAATGAGAATATAGACTTATATTATTAATTTGAATGTTTAAATTATAAAAATCATATTAGTCATAATTTCCTTAATTACTATAAATATTTACTATAATATATATTAGTTCTATCGATTGATCTGAATAAGAATATATACTTGTATTATTACTTTGAATATTCAATTATAAAAATGATACCATTCATTATTCCCTTAATCATAATTTTCTTAATTATGTATTAGGATATATACTAGTACTATCAATTAAATTAAATTTGAATCAGGATATATAATTTATTATTAGTTTGAATGTTCAAATAACAAAAAGCACCCCGATCATAATTTCCTTAATTACTATATTTATTATAATTATGTAATACTACCATTACTTAATTTTTATTTTAATTAGAATATATAATTTTATTTGAATGTTCAAATCACAAAAATCATAATATTCATAATTTTCTTAACTAGTTTGAATATTCAAATCATGCAAATGACACTGATCATAATTTCTTCGATTATGTATTAAAATATATATTAGTATAATCAATTCATTTAAATTATAACATATATTAGTTTGAATGTTAAATTTATAAAAATCACGTTGATTATAATTTCTTTAACTACGATAATTATGTATTAGTACTATCATTTAATTTGGATTAAAATATATAATTGTATTATTAATTTGAATGCTCAAATTATAAAAATGATACCGATCACAATTTCCTTAATTACTATAATTAGGTATTTTTATAAATTAAAATAAATTTTTTTACGACATTTGGGACGAGAAAAATATCAATATAGTGTCATCATATAGCAGATGCCATGTGAAAAAAGTTTCATTATATAATAGAATAGATTTTTTTTTGAAGCAGATATAATAGAATAGATTGATTCTCATATATAATAAATTTATTCCTTAAAAATCATATATAGTTCGATTTCTGATTAGTTGAGAATTTATAACTACTGTATTTCTTTTCACATTATCAGTTAATTAAAAATTGTTCTTAGTATAACTCTTCAAATATTTATTATAAAAAATTAATAAAAATTAACTATACATCACAAAGTGTTATTGAGTATGTCTGAAAAGTTACTTCAAGAGCTTACAAGTTTTTTTTTTCTTCTTCTAATTTTTAAGTTAATTTGTTCAAAATAAGTCTTTTTGATATGAAAAACTTTATAATTTTTTTTTCTTCATAAGCAAATTAAAATAACTTATGGTTTATAAGTTCTTAACTTTTTTTTTTATCTCCTCATTAATTTACCTAAAATCATCTTTACCCTTTTTAATAAAAAAACTACTTTTTCTATTATGCCATCCTCTCAATCTTAGTATGAAAATCATTTTATGACATTTTATATTTACCAACTAATCTTAAAAAGAAAAAAACCTTCAATTCAATCAATTAATTTATAAACATCTAACTTTTTAGCTCCCAACTTATAATTTTTAACTAACATATAAGCTTTCAACTAATTTATAAACTAATTTTACCAACCCTTATATAATGGTATATATAAAAAGGTTTTATTATCAATACATTCTAGTTAAATTGTATTTTAAACCAGTATAAGATTGGTCAAAATGTTTAATCTTATTATAATTTCAATGAACATTATATAAATTATCTCGATGCTTTACTGTACATTTTAAACAGATTCCTGTTCCATAGTTAATTTAGATCAATAAATATATGATCATGTGCTATATTTAATTTGGATTACGATTTTTATATACGTTCTAGTTTTGGAATTAAAAAAAAAATGATCTATATGACGTATGTGTGTATCCATATTAACATAGATTATAAAGTGAAAATAACAGGTAGATATTGAATAATGAATATGCATCATATCGTCATCAATATTGTAGATTGTATAGTATACTGCTAAATATTAAGACACAGCGGGGTCCGAGCGTGACTGTCAAATCTTACATATTCTCTCTCTCTCTCTCTCTTTCTTGTTCATTGAGAAGAAGAATTCATAGGACAAGTCTTTCACTCCATAGATTCCATTCAATCGTTGATCTTTATCACTCTCAGATTCAAAAAACATAAAAGATGTTTTGGTTTCACAAGGTACGTTTTTAAGAATATGGGTGTATAGTATAATAATGAATATTGATAATGTTAGTTGTTATTAACATTTAATAATTTGTTGGGTGGTTGAACTTATAACATGCTGCAAAAAATGTGAATTTTGTTATCTCGTTTTTCGGGTCGCACATTGATTTTATCGGCTCCATGCTTTTCATGTTTCGCTGCTGTTTCCTTCTTCCTCGTCGAATAAAATATTCTAAGAAGATCTCCAAAATTTAATGGGGTGGAGATGCGTTAGAACTTGGAATCATCAAACTCGATTTTTGTCCATATAACTAATTTCTGTTACTAGATATTATGCTGCTCGGGTTTTCAATGTACAATTCGAACATTTTAATTTTTTTTCCTTAGTTTTAATGACAATTGGAGATTATTAAACGGGCTTTTGGATTTATTCAATGTATGTGGGTGTTCGTCGAATTTGGTCAATTATCTTTAGCATCTTGGACGGTTACTTCATCTGTTTTTGTTTTCTGTAATTTTGTTTAGAAAAAGGTTAATGATGCTGTCTATGTATCAGTACCTTCATAGCCTCATATCATCTACTCTGCATCATTGACTGTTTTTTTTTTTTTTTGGAGCTTTATGAAGCTGTTTGATGAGTACAATATAAAAAAGTTCCCTTTTATGGAAATGGGATCTGCTTTTTCCCAACTCATAAAAATAAGAATAAAGCTTATCATTAGTTCCTATAATAATGATAATAATAGTAACAATATGCTTATAGTCTGATTCCTCTGGAAAAGGAACTCATGGAGGTCATGATTTCTCCTACATAGCTCGTTGTCTCATATGCCCAAATGCCTTAAACAATTCCAAAATTGGCCATGTTTTGTCTCTCTGTTGTGGTTAGTGCAGCCCCTTGCAGATAGGGGATATGATTATTATGGATATAAATTTAATAAAACAATGACCATAGTGTATTATTTTTATCTCACCCTTTGTTATATGATATATTCTTCTCATCTCATTTTGCTCATGATGCAGGGCTGCTTCTGACTTTTACTAGATTCAAAGAGAGGAATGGAGGGTGACACATTCTCTGGCCTAGGCAATGGTGATGCCAAGATCATGCAGACATTTCAGAAGAGCTTTGTGCAAGTTCAGAACATTTTTGATCAGAATAGGTTACTCATCAATGAGATAAACCAGAACCATGAGTCTAAGGTCCCCGATAACCTCACCAGGAATGTGGGGCTCATTAGGGAGCTCAACAACAATATCAGAAGAGTTTATGACCTATATGCTGATCTTTCAAGTTCCTTTACCAAATCCATGGAAGTTACTTCAGAAGGGGATTCAAGTGGTGCTGTGAAGTCAGATGGGAAAGCAGGCCACAAGAGACACAGGCCTGTGTAGAGAGTTTGTTTCCTTGTGATTCTTTTGCGTGAAGTGTTGAAGGGTAGAACACAATATTAAAATTTAGAATCTGTAGTTGAAGAAGTTCTATTGTATTAGCACATCACTTACTCCTTATATTTCAAATAAAAAAAAATGATATATTGATTTCCCTCCCTAATCCTTCTCATTGTAACCTTGTAATTTGGGATCTAATAGAAATCTAGCATGGTTGTGTATTGTGTTACTAATTCAATCTTGTTGCTGTTGTTCAAAGTGGAAATAAGAAAGTCTTTTTATTTCTTTTATTAATGTGGTTTTCCTCTACGATCATGTGATGGAATATGATTTACAGTTTATCTTTTCAATTGTTTAATTTTTTTGTTTTTTCTATGATGAGCTAGATTGTATGAGGTAGTGCTTTTCAGGTTCCATTAACTTTTTCTCTCTGCAAAATGGTGCAAGAGGGTGTTCATAAATCTTTGCTCATCATTCTTTTTGATGGGAACTCTTCATTATACCTTTATTCCCTTTACAAGTTCAACCCAAAACGTTGTTCCTAGCTCTCACTTTAGCTAATAGCTGAAATTGAGAAGGGGTTGCAGATACTGTTTTAGGTCCATTCCCATGTAACAAGAACTTCTTTACTGAAAATTAAATACTGTTCCTGATTTTAATATTCCTGTTTGTCCTTGTGAGTGTAAAAACTGAGAAGAGTACACATACGAATACATGTGCGTGAAGATGCCCTGAAACAGTGGGAAGAAAGCAGCTTTAGTCTATCTTTTTGGTTACCAATCACACACCACCACAGGAACAGAATCTCAGATAAGAAACGATGTGCTTTTCATATTTTTTTAATCTTTATACCAAATGAATGGTATTGGCTAGGAACTTAAAGTATTGTATATAGAAAATGATGTATGATACTCCATGTTAGTAGATACTTAATAAGTGGGTGTTTGGTCCAGCATTAGATATTCACTTTAATGTAAAATCACTTCAAAAATAATGTAAAGACAATTATTAGTTATTTTTTGGATCCATATCTAGCAGCAACCAGCTTGTTTCCAACCACACTATTAGAGACACAAAGAAACACAAGAGAGAAATATCGATGTAATAAATGATATGAGAGTGACCAGTGAAATAAAAGAAAAAAAATGAATATTAATAAAGATTTTGTGCTGTGGGATTGTCCATAAAAAAATATTACTCATTATAGATTAGCTTCAAACAAAGCACTACAGTCTCCTGAGAGGGATAAATGTAGAGAATAATGATCACATCCCTGGATATACCCCAAGTGGTGGTAACTGAGAGAATCAGAAAAAAAATTATGAAGAGAAAATAACATGTGTGAATGATGATATGATAAGAAAGAAAAAGAAAAGGAAAATAGAAGAGGGGTTTATGATGAAAGTAAAAATTGGAATGTAATAAAGCTAGAGTTGATATGAAAATACTAGGAGTGACCCAACAACAAGACAAGGGACCCAAAGGTTCCTTTTGGGATGGAACTGAACATGACAATGCTTATCCCTTCCTTCCGAGGTTCTTACTCTTTTACTATTCAATTCTCCCCACTCTTCCTCCTCCATCTTTTTTTATTGAGAAATTGTATTTTTATGCCTTACTTTTACACAATGATTTTCTCAGATGAAAAAGGAGAAAAGAAGAGAAGCATTTGAAAAGATAAATGATATAACAAAGTGAAATAAAAAATAATTGTAAAAATTGTGTATAATTAAAATAGTATTCCTCCTTTTTATTCCACTTATGCAATTAATGTCACAAACCTTATAGTTGATAATTCTCTGGCTTTGGATTTCTCTCTCTCCCTGATTGAGCAGATGTCTTTGTTGGTGGACCCAGTGGGGCAGCCTAATTTCCTGATCTCAGTAAAGAGGTCCACATGAGTGATTGCTGAAAATGGCCTGTTTCTGGTTTAGATTTTGCACATTGAAGGATAGTACCTTTTCCTTATCTACAAAATTGATTCCTCTGTCCGTACTCTAAATTCACAATCAATTACCCACGAATGTGCAGATCAATTGATATAAATTGTTTTAATTTAATTAATAATTTTAAATTTGAATCTCGAATATGTTTTGGAAAAAAAAATTAATTGTTAATATTTATAATAATTTTACCATATTCAAACAAGATTGTCTTTAGTAAAATACTTAAAGCTCTCAATCAATTTACTCAGATGAAACTATAACTGTAAGATCCTTATGTGTCCTTGCCTTCAGGGCGTTTCTTGGCCTTACACCTAAGAAATCCAATACATATCAAGTATCACATATCATACATAAATGATAAAACAAATATAATTGTAAGACTTTCATATACAATAATAATTATGACTGCAAGAGTCACTTTCTTTCAAGGGTTCAGAAGAGAGAGATGTGGATTTCTTATCTCAACATGTTCATTCATTGTTCATGGACTAATGACACTTTGCACAGTACAAAAAATGGTATGCTGATAACAACACACTGAATTTACCCGTTTGATGAGCAAACGAGGGAGAATGATTATATGATAGTAACACATATTGGGTGACATAACGCTATATATTAATGATTATTATTAACCTATGCCTGTGGACATAGGAAATAAATAAATAAAAAATAAAAAGAGAGGGTGAGGTTTGGGAAGTGTGTCAAAAATGCATATGCATGCTACGTTTGAGGTAGTCATGAAGGGTTAGAAAGAAAAATGAGATATAAAAATGGGTTTGGTCCCTACACAAGCCAAGACAAATTAAACATTGTCTAGTACATAACATGTGCAGTGGGAATCTACTTTTGCCTTTCTTTCCCTTTGTTCCTTGCGTTTCCAGCAAATAGGTTCATCTCTAGTTTGCCCTTTGAAAGCTATTATATAATAATGCAACTTATTGATATCTACATCATTGGTTGGCCCTGATTAATAATCCACCACCCATGCTGGAAATGTTTGATTATATATGACTTCATGACACTTCTAATAATTTAGTAGTTTTATTTAGTAAGTTTGGTATGCTCTTTTGCTTACTTTCAAATAAAACTAAGTTCCATTTAGTTGACGTTTGGGAAGGACAAAGAGTTATTGAATTTGTTTACTTTAAGAATATTAATAAACTTTGTGACGTTGACCTCTCTTGGTGACCCTCAAACAATGTTTTAGGGATTATTGGATGGTCCGGTACAAAGATAATGTCTTGACAGTCATATTTGAAGGAAGAATGAAACAAGGAAAGGAAGAAAGAAGAGAATAAGATGGGTTGTTATAATAAAGAGTAGTTTATAAAAATGAAAGAAATAGTAAAGTGTTTTTTTAAACTTATTTTAATAAAATTGCAAGTCTCTTCCTCCTAATATCAGGCTTCTCCTTTGTTTCTTTGGAATAAAACCTAAGTTTTAGGTCCATAAAAAGATTTATAATTAGTTTTATAAATTAAAAAAGTCACATGTTAACAAAAAGTTTCATATGTTGGCTAGAGGCGTCAAAGTGGGTCGGGATTCGTGGGCTAACCTGACCCACCTTGAAAACGGGTTGGGCTGGGTAAAAAAAAATTAAAGTTTTATAGTAGGTGGATATATCTCAACCCGAACTTTGACCCGGCCCACCCGGGCTGAACCCGTGGTGAGCCGGGTAGCCACCAACCCACCATTTTTTTTTTGTAATAAAAATTTAAGTATGATTTGTAGTTAATTTTGTATGATGAGATATTGAAAATTTTTATTTTAGACTTTTATCATGATTTGTATTTAATTTTGTATGATGAGTTATGACTTATGACTATTAATGATGCTAATTTTATGACTATTATGTTAATTTATAATTAATTTAAAATTTTGAATTTTTTTGATAATTTTTTTTAATTTTTGGTGGGCTAGTGGGCTGACCCATATAACCCACCAACCCGTGGTGGGCCGGGCCGGGCCAAATTTTTTTTGAGAAAATTAAAAGTGGGCTAGGTTGGGTTGGCTCATTTTTAAAGTGGGTCAAGGTGGGCCGGCCCACATGGCCGGACTGGCCCGTTTTGACATCTCTAATGTTGGCAAAAAATACTTAAGTCATGCATAAATAATTATAACGTCCTGTTTGTTAAGAGAGATAGAGAAGAAGAAATAAGGAGAAGACCAAAGAAATAGGGAAAAATAATAATTTTGTTAATTTGATTAAAAAATTATATCAGGTGAGAATTAAAAAAGTATGGGTCCATACCTTTTTATTTTCATGTTGATATACACGAAATAATGAAAAATTATACATGCTATTTGTATTTATTGATAAATTTTTTATCAGCGATTTCAAAACCGTTAAAAAATGACATTAATTGATTTGTTTTTTCTTTCACATTTCTGATGGTCAAAAAACATCACAATCCTTTTTTTTAAACATATATTAGCGGTTTCAAACTGTAAAAAAATATTATTAAAATAAATAAATATCTTATTTGAATACGTGAATTCGATTTCGAAACCTTTTTTCGAGATTTTTTCTTATTTGAATACAAACTTTTCTTATTCGAATATAATTTTTTTCTTAAGGTATAATTTAGAAAAAAATTATTTGATTACGAAACTTTTTATATTATATTTAAAAGCGTTTATGCACTTAAAATTTATTTAATTATATTAATTAGTTTTTAACTTAAAATAATTACTTTAGAATTATTTATTTACTTTTAATTTGTTATTTATTTTATTTTAAAAAACTATTTATTTAGTTGTATATTTTTTATTTAATTGATTAAAATATAAATAATTAATAAAAATTCTTTTAAAAATATTTATTTTTTATTTCATTCTTTTTTACTTTATTTTATTTATTTATTTATCTTTTTTCATTTTTATATATACTTTATTTCTCTTCAATTAAATACTTATTTATTTTCACTAATCTCTTTCTCTCTTGTGTTTCTCTCCACTTTATTTTTTTATCTATTTTTTTCTTTTCTACCTAACATGCTGGTAAAGTTGGTCCACCTTAAGTTTCATTTCCATAGCCACTATTTGGAGAGCTTCCTCACCCAACAAATTCAGAAATTGATTCCCATTTTTCACAACCTCAACGGCGTCTACATACGAGCTGAGCATCCCAAGATCCTTCATCGGAGGCTGGACAGTCCAGATATTAGGACACAGGCAATGGTGTGTATTTGAGTTCCATCTTCATCCGAATAGTCTCAAATAGTGCCCTAAACAAAGAGGTAACGTTTGAAAGAGGATGCAGGATAACTCCCACCCAAACAAGGAGGGTTAGTACTAACAACTTTAGGGACAATGTTTAACATCCTATTTTTTTATTTATTTATAATTATTTATCTATATAATTTATGTAAATTATTATATGTTTTGTTATGATAAATGTGCATTAAATATTATGTAAGTTTATTGTGAATGAAATTTATATTATTGTACTATTCAGCAAAGTTTTTTGATCATTCAATGACATATATTTTATTGTCTAATTTGATTGTTTCTTGGATAATGTTGTGATCATGCTTTAAAATGTAAGAAACTCGATTTAAGAAAATTTAACTATTATATAATCTAAATGATAATTTATCGATGATAGATTAAGAATAAATACAGTTAAGAGAGAAATTTCTAAATTAAAATTTATAAAAATTCTCTAATTATGCTAAAATATTAAGTTAGGAAATTATGACAAAAATGTTTAATAGGATCTAAAAAATTTTATCATCAATATAATATGTTTAGACTAACTAGTAAAAATTTCTATCTAAGTTAAGCTAAAATACAAGTCTCAACCAATCAAATTATGACATATAAGAAAATTCTAATTAATTAAATTAATATTAAATAACATAATTAATAGATGATCAAGAGACCAAATTTTATGTGTTTGATGGTGAAGATTCTAACGATGATATTAGTTTCTCAAAATTATAATTAATTTGTAAGATACTTTAATAATTTTACAATGTTATAAATTTTTTTATAAAACTCTTTAAAGTAGATACCTAATCACCAAATGATTAAATGGATTGGAAGCTTAACTATTAAGATACTTAAATAATTCTAGAAAGTTCTATAAAATTTTACAAAATAGAAATATAGAATAAATTGGTAGTTTAACCATTAAGATATTTAAATAATTATACAAAATTCCAGGATGTTCTATAAATTTTTTTTTTTATAAAAAAGGACACCTAATCACCATATGATTAAATAAATTGAAAGTTTAACCATTAAGATAACTAAATAACTATAAATTCTAGAAAGTGGACACCTCATCATTGTGTGATTAGATATATTGGAAGCTTAACTATTAAGATACTTAAATAATTCAACAAAATTCTAGAAAGTCCTATAAATACTTACTATATGAGCACCTAATCAACATGTGACTAAAATGACTTAAAAAATATTAAGAAATATCTATCAATCTAGAATATTTGAGAATAGAGGTAGAAACTAGTATAAAAGGGAGAAACTACACCAAAAGGCTCACCAATAACACTTAACTAAGACATAAACCAAGTCAAAGAAACGTTCAAAAATACTCTATCTTTGCTACAACCAAGATGGAAAACAAGGAGTAAGCAACTAAAATTTCAAGAAGAGAAAAAGAAAGAAAGAAGATAGGAGGAAGAAAAAGAAGCAAGAAAAAAAGAAACCAAGGAAATTAGGATAAAACTAGTAAGCTTGGAGAAATAGGTATGTGTTAGATATTTAATTTTATTCATGTCTTTATAATTGTAGAGTAAAACTTGATTATTACTTCTAAGTTTGGATGCATGGATCCCTAGGTTAGATGATATGGTTTCTAATTGTATTTATTGATAAATTTGATGTTTAAAGGTTGAATCTTGAAGTGGTTGATTTTTTATGATTGGATGTTGTTATTGAATTTGTTTGAATTGTATTTGAAAAGTTTGATTGAGAATGATTTTTGAAGAGATAGATTCATAGTAATGCATGTTGCATATTGCATAATGTGGTTTGAGTCGAAATAATTTTTGGGGGAAAAGAAAAAAGTTTATGAAAATATTTGAGAAATGACTTTTATATCAAGGATAATTGATAGAAAAAGAATGATTTTTGGAATTTAGAAATGATGTTTTTTTTTTAAATTCTTTTCTTTACATTTACTATCCGAGACATTGGTGGAAGAGATTGATTGTGATAGTGGATACTGTTAAGGATAGTTGACAATATGAGATGGAAATAAAAAAAATATAGAGTGAGAGAGAGCTTAATATGGTTGTGAAAGTTTAATTGAGATATTTGTTTTATGCTACCAATATTAGAAGATAGTAAATGAGATTTGAGTAGAATGGATAAGATAGGACCTCTAGTCTAAAAGATAGAACTTTGATCTAAGGAGTGTTAGGGCATTGACAACCTTATAGATGACCAGTCTTTATTTGGTTTTGTGCTAGTAATCTGTTGGGTGCACTAATACTCTGACTACTGTCTACTTATTCATATTTAATGGGGCATTACTGAATCATTGGACAAAGTGATGTTAAACTCTAGATTCACTAAACACTCAAGAGGGAAAATATTCATTGAGTATTGAGTCAAAATGATTTTGAAAAGTATATTTTAAGTCAAAATCTGCATCTTATAAGCATATTGCATTATTTGGACTATTATTAGTAAAATATCTTATTAAGTTGTTGAGTGTGCATTAGTAATAGTATGCATAAAAACACATATTTCTTCTTTATCTACCTCTCGACATATCCTTTCCCATTTCTTGCATTGCTAGGCTTCAAAATAAATGACTTTTATAGGAACAACTACATTCTTTAGCTCCAAGAAGATGCAAAAATGTTTTGTCATTAGTATAATTGGAAAAGTAGCTAAGTATTTTTTTGTTTACTAAATCTTGATAGTCATAATCATTCATATTTGTTATGGTTCTCATATTCTCAGTTATCATAAGAGGAGACCCTTCGATTACATTTATGGGTGTCAACAAAGATGTTTTTGGCCATATTTTGTTTGGTTTGTTGAGAAATCCTAATTATATTTTCTCCTCCTAGCTAATAAGTTACAACTACTTCTTGTTGAATTGGCCAAGAGATATTGGCCATATTCAAAATTATTATAAGGTTAACACAGGTGGAAATAAAAAGAAGAAAAAATGTTTTTCAAAGGAAGATTTACCTATACGGTGAACCTTTTGATCAATTAGTCATTAGGAATCAAAACTACTAAATCTAAAAACACTATAAGAACTCATGGTAAATGTGGAAATGCATCTTGGTAGGTACTTGGTTGGTTAAAAAAAGAACCGAGGAAAAAATTCTTAAATCAATTAATGGATACTCATATAGTAGAGGATGCTTGAGAGCTAAGTACTTTGCTTAAGGGTTGAGTTTGTGTTTTATAGGGCTGAAAAACCTGGGAGCCCAAAAGTCCCGACTCCTCATCATAACCATTAGATTGTCTTAAAATCAACAATCAAGGGATCGTGACTTTCCCACTCCAAATGATGGGGATGGGAAACATCATAGATGATAGGTTGATGCACATGATAACCCTAAAGGCGGTGCATTAAATGTTGGGATTTGACACTCTTCAAAACAAATTTGTCTTGGTAATTGACAACCTTTGCACATACTCAACTTTATTGGAAGTCTTTTCATACCAAAATCAGGACTTGAAGACTTATCTACCAAATATGATTTAGACACCTTATTGAAGGACTAAATATTCTACAATGAACGAGTAGTATTCAGATATCTGATTCAAAGCTTGAATAAGGTTCAATTTTGACAACTATTTGAATCAACGAAGATGATTATGTAACCATCATTGTCGTTCATCATTATCATTGGAACACAAAACACATTTATTACATCAATAAATGAAAGCTATGTATCCTCATATTGTATATTAAGCCTTTTGTTCAAACATTTGGTACTTTTTCATATCCTATTAATTTATGTTAAATCAAAAGATGATTTTGGATCCCTCAAGCTTTCGAGTTTTGATGTTAATAGAAAATGTTTTTGCAAAATACAAATCAAAAGAAGCATAAAGATTCAAATCATTAGATAGACGATTTGTCATAAGATGAAACATATAGTTTGATTTCATAAAGTCTTAAATGCATTTCATTTATAATGACAAATAACTACTTGTTGCATGACTAGTTGATTCCTTAACTGATCAACCTATGAAAGCTCTTTGGAACTAAAAATCTATTAAAGTGAATGAAGTCATGCTTTACATGAGAACCAAGGAAAAACAAATCCTTAAAATCATAGAGAAAGTCAACAAAAGTCGATGCAAAATCTACTTTTTCTTGACACACGCTATAGATAGTTTGTTTGGCATCCTAAAGTTGATAAGAAGTGAAAATTTGGTGAAACACATTTAATGCATCAACAAGCACTTCTTATCTCAAGGAACCTATAACGAAGACAGATGAAACAAGTTTGTGATGAACCTTTAAGGTTTTGCAATGCTCATCTTAATTAGAGCTATTATATAAGAAGCTTCATGATTAAAAAGAAAAAAGAACTTTTGAAGAAATATTTTTAAAAGAACTTTTATACAAATTACTATTGATTCTTTCTATAAAAACTTCTATTCTTAATTGGTTGTACCACATCTTGTTTGTAAGATGAAACATTTGTAAAACTTTACCCAAATATAATTGTTGTTAGGATTGAGCATGGAGAGACTTGTTTATAAAAGAATACTTGTTTGAGCCTAAAGAGACTTGTCTATAAAAAAATACGTATTTGAACCTAGAGAGGCTTGTCTACAAAATAATACTTGGTGTTGAAGCCTAGAAAGGCTTTATGTGAAAAAAATACTTGGGTAGATTGCTTAAAGAGACTATTCAAAGAAAACTTAGGTTTGAGCCAGAAGTGGCTTGTTGAAAGAACACTTGTATCATGTTTAAGATAATGGAACTTAATCTAGTTAGATTGAGAACTGGACGTAGTCTCGATGGTTGAGATGAGCCATTATAAAATTACCTTGTGTTTTGTTTGCCTCTTTTTCATCACTCTTTACTGTTAGTGTCACTACTTCTCTACTTGAGAAAGTGTGAGTTTTTGACTGAAACTATTCAACCCCCTTTTAGTGTCTGTCTATTCTCTACACTTTGGTATCAAAGCTCAACCTTTGACAAAATTGAGCATCTAACTGTGCTAAAGGAAAAAGATCTATTATGGGATGTAGTGAAGGCCAGTATCTACCAAAGTGAGCTTCTTTTATATGGCCTTCGACCTTTAATGAAGAAGACTACCCATATTGAAAGTGAAGATGTTCATAAAATCCACCCAATACCACCTTTGGAAGATTATCACTCAAGGTGATGTAGTTGTTACCAAGCATAAGAGCCAACACAATCAAGACGACTACAACATTTTGCTACTTAACACAAAAGCCATGTACATTTTTGGCTTTCTCTTTGTCTAAAATTGAATACAAGAAGTTCTGCAGCTACTCAACGACCAAAGAAATGTGGGAAGTTATCAGAGTAACTCATGAGGGTACTAAGGATACGAAACTTAGATGAGTTGCCACTCTTCAAATACACTATGAGTTATTTTCCATGAAGGAAAATGAAACCATTGATGAAATGTTTGGAAGATTCTAAAAAATTCTAAATAGGTTAAAATCCCTAGGAATTGAATTTTCAAAAATGCAGAATAATCTTAAGATCTTGGATCGTCTTCCAAAGGTCTAGGAGCCCAATAACTCAAATGATAGTTTCGAGAACTCGACAGACGATGAGATATCTCTCATGTCTAAGAAGTTCAAAAGACATGCTGAATAAAAAAGATTGAGAAACTTCCACAAAAAGAAAGACAATTTCAAGAAACCTGGTCAGAATGATAATAAGAAGGTCATCTACTATGAGTGTAAGAAGCTAGGACATATGAAGGGTGAACATCCTACACTTATAAAATGATGGACCATTAAAAAGAAGGCCAAAAAAAAGCTAGATGGCCACTCAGAAAGATTTGCACAACAACAATTTAGACAAGAAGAAAGCCAACATCTACCTCATGGCAAACGCTAACTCTAAATCAAATGATATAGAGGTTGAGGTAAATTATAATTCCAACTCTTGTTCATCTGGTTTTGATGAGAAAGATATGTCTTATGAGACTCTCTTTGTAAACTCTCACATGATCTCTCTTGTGTATAAGAAATTAAAAGAGAAATATAAAATTTTACAAAATGAGAATGATAAACTCAAGAAAGATAGGTCAGACACTACAAGAGAGATAAAAACTCTCAAAGAAAAGATCATTAGCAATATCCTACCTAAGGTTATAGCATTAGAAGATAAAACCATAAAACTTAGCAAGGACCTAACTAAATTTGTTGATGGGTTTTGTAAAATAAACATGCTTTTAAAACATAAAAGACTTTCATCAAAAGAAAGTGATATTGGCTTTGATCTTGGATCTGGGACATCTCAATCCAAACTCAAGACCACTTTCCACAAGGCCAGGGGAAAAGGAGGACAAACTCCAGGTAGATGGAAATATTAGTTTAATGTTGTTGGTACTAATAGGAAAGGATCCAAAAATATTTGGATACCAAAGTCACAAATAATTTTTTTTGTAGATATACTTGGTGGGAAAAAGGAAGGATTCACACTAGTATCTGGATAGTAGTTGCTCATGACACATGACAGGAGAAAGGTCTATGTTCTTAGACATTCAACCTTATGAAGGATCCATCTCATTTGGAGGAAGCAAAAATAAGTAAGATAGGTAAAAATTCTATACCTACTATCCATAATATTTTATGTGTTGAAGGATTAAGATATAATTTGTTTAATATAAGTCAATTTTGTGACAACAAATATACTTCGTTTGACAAAGATGCATGCATAGTTAAGCTAGATGATGGGTTTGTGCTTTGTTATTGCCTTTAGAAAGAATAATCTCTATAAGATTAATCTAAAAAATCTGGGCAAGTAAAATGTAACATGTTTAGTTTTCAAAGAAGATGCATAATAGATTTGACATAAAAAACATTGGCATGCCAATATGAAACATATTTCAAAATTAACCAAAAAGTATTTAGTAAAAGGATTGCTTGAGATTTCATGAAAAAATCATCTTTTTTGTGAAGCCTATCAGAACGGGAAATACATTAAAATATCTTTTTAAATCTAGGAAAGTTGTTTCCACTTTTAGACCCTTATAATTGTTACATATAGATCTTTTTGGTTCTACCAAAACTTTAAAAGTCTGACCAGTAAGAAGTATGCATTTGTCATTGTAGATGACTGTTTTAGATATACATGAGTTTACTTCCTAGCCCATAAACACGATTCTTCCAAAGTATTTGAAATATTTTGTAAATGTGTTCAAGATGAAAAAGGTTTTTGCATCATTTCCATTAGAAATAATCATGGAACTAAGTTAAAAATTTTGATTTTAAAATGTTTTGTGAAAAGAATGATGTTTTTTACAACTTCTTTTCATTGAGAACACCTCAAAAAAATGGGGTAGGTGAAAGAAAGAACTGAACCCTGTAGGAAATGGCCAAAAGTTTGCTTTTCAAAAAATCTTTACCAAAACACTTATGGGTAGAAGTAGTAAACACAAATTTCTATATTCAAAATAAAATATTGATAAAAACTTTTGTTAAACAAGACTCTAGGTGAATTGTGAAGGGGAAGAAGACCCAACATATCATACGTTTATTCCTTTGGATGTGAGTGTTATGTCTTGAACACTAAGGACCAACTTGGAAAGTTTGATTCAAAAGTGGACAAAAGCATCTTCCTCGGATATTTAGATACTTTAAAGGAATATAGAGTTTTTAACTCTAGAAAATTTATGGTAGAAGAATCTATCCATGTGAAGTTCAATGATGCATTAATGATTGATAGGAAACTATCAGATCTGAAAGAGGAATTTGTATATTTATAGATTGATGCAGAGAAGACAAAGGAATAATGTCTAAAATCTGCTCCTAAAGCCAAATTATCAAATCATCATTGGAACAAGATGAGATTTCAGAAACAAGCTAGATGAGCAAGGTAAAGTGATAAAGAATAAAGCTAGATTAGTAGCATAAGGCTACAATTAGTAGGAAGGTATAAATTTTATTGAAACCTTTGCACCTATTGCTAGGCTTGAAGATATTAGGATTATGTAAGCCTTTGCAACTCACAAAAATATTAAAACTTTTCAAATGGATTTAAAAAGCATCTTTCCAAATGACATCACTAAAGAGGATGTTTATGTTAAACAACATTTGTGTTTTGAAAACCTAGATTTTAAAGAACTTGTTTTCAAACTAAAAAAGAATTTTTATGATCTAAAATAAGAACCTAAAGCTTGATATGAAAGATTAAACAATTTTCTTCTAAATAATGGTTTTGTGACAGGAAAAGTTGACACAAGTCTTTTCAGAAAAGAATTTGATACAAATTTTATAGTTGTGCAAATTTATGTTGATGAAATCATATTTGATGCTACTAATGAGTCTATGTGTAAAGATTTTTCTAAGTTAATACATAATGAGTTTGAAATGAGCATCATGGGTGAGTTGAAGTTCTTCCTAGAGCTTCAAATCAAACAAATAGATGAAGAAATCTTCATTCATCAGCAAAAATATACAAATAAGCTACTCTCGAAGTTTAAGATGAATGACTGTAAACCAATGCCTACACTTATGCATTTGTTTGTGGGTCTATCAAAAAACAAATTAGGTAAACTAGTAGATTGACAATCTACAAAAGTATATTTGGATTTTTTCTTTGCTTGACTACAAGCTGACTTGGTATCATGTTTAGTGTATGCCTATGTAAAGTATTTTAGTCTGATCCCAGAGAGTGTCATCTTAAAGCTGTAAAGTGTATCTTTAAATATCTTGCAGGTTCTACCAAACTTAGTTTGTTCTATGAGAAAAATAATGATTTTAGGTTAGTATGATTCTTTTATGCAGACTTTGTTGGAGACCAAATTGAAAGAGAAAGTACAAGTGGAGGATGTCATTTCCACTATAGAGGCAGAGCACATTTTTGCAGCAGAGTGTTGCTTACAACTCCTATGGGTGAAGTATAAATTAGAAGACTATTCTAGTCTTGAAAATCATATACCTATTTTTGATAACACAAATGCTATAAATATTTAAAATAATCTTATAAAACATTCCAAGGCTAAACACATTGAAATAAGATATCATTTCATTTATGATTATGTTCGAAAGAGTTTTTACATAAAATTTGTAAACACTGATCACCAGTGGATTGATATTTTTACAAAGGCTTTAGCTGAGGAACGATTTAGATTCATTAGAGACCATCTAAATCTAAAATATATTTCAAAATATGGAAAATGTAGCATCGTCTTATCATGCTTCATTTGACATGCATCATCTTATGCATACGTGGACATACATCAGTTTGTGAAAATTTTATATTCATATATGTACACTAATGTATCATCTTATTTTATATCTATTAAATAGCCTTTAATGCTTACCATCATTAATTGCCTCGAGTTTTGAAAAAGGTAATGTGTTAAGAAGTAGGAATGATAAAGGCATGTCATGTCAACACAACCTATATTCTATACTCTTTTTAGTTTACCAACCGCTTGACTCATAGACTATTTTCTCTCCCTCTCTCTCTCCCCCCTACATTTTCAAAAAGTTAACCATCTCGATTTCTATAACACTTACACTATCATCCTTAAGCACTTGAAAACCTAACTCTCCCAACTTCAACCTTTGAAACCTCAAATGGCACCTAAGACTCAAGCAACCTATGTAACACCTTATTTTTCATAAAATATAATATAAGTATTTTATTAATAATTTTGGTGTTTAATTTTTATTAATAATAGTTATTTAATATTTATTTAGTTATTTGATATGTTTTGAATTATAATATAAGGTGCATTATTAAAGATTTTAATTAAATGTTTTATTTTAATTAATTAAGAAGGAAGGGGATCAATAATTGTGGTTAATATGTTTTAATTAGAAAGTTAAAGGGAGGTTAAGGTTTTAAAAAAAGTATATCCCCTAATTAGTTTTTACATCTCTTATTTTCTTATTTATATGCACGTGTTTACGCTTTAGAGCTCTAAGACACATGAACGAGACGAGAACTACCCCCGAGTCTTGCATCTGTCATCTAGTGCTTATCCAGGTAAGGAAGAAGTGAGAAACCTCGTTCTAGGTGTGAGATTGTATGTTGGGTAGTGGGATTGACCCCAATCTTGTCTCTATTGTATGCTTATGGATGAGGTTTTTTTTTCCTAAATGTGTTTGTTTTGTCTCTTGCTCTTCTTACATGTTCCTAATGACATGAATTGTGTGAATGTATAATTAATTGTATGTCTTGGATTGTAATTGTATGATCTAAGGTTCCTATGGAAAACCCTAAGGGAACTTGTTATGATAATTTGTGAAGATATTAATTGATATGTGTAAGTTGAGTGATTTGAAATGTTAATTACATGTTATAGAGCAATTTTATTGATGTATATATGTTTATGTGTGAAATTGGATGTGGATAACTTGTAGTCACTAAGGATATGTGATTTCCAGGAAGGAAGATTATGTTCTCACTCAATGAGATGCACAAGGTCTCTCAATGAGAAGCTCTAGGGAGCTTAGCTCTCTCAATGAGAAGCTCTAGGGAGCTTAGCTCTCTCAACGAGAAGCTCTAGGGAGCTTAGCTCTCTCAACTAGATGTTGTTCATTCAGCAAGAAGCCCTAGGATGCTTAGGTACCTCAGCTAGATTTTTGTGGCTTAGTTAGATGTTGGTGGCTCAACTAGATGTTATTTGCTCAGCGAGAGGCTCCAAGAAACTTAGCTTGCTCAACAATTGTTAGATGGTTATTATCCTTGTGATCTTGATACTACCTTTTTACTAATGATTAGTTGATGTATTTGAGAATGTACATGGAATATATGAGGTGATATGAGGAATATGTGATATGTGAAGTGATATCATGTGTACGTTATTGCATCGAGTCTGTTTGACATGCATCATGTGCATAAAAGATGTATTTTTTGAAAGGGTACAATATGAAATACACCACTAGGGAAGGTCCCTTGTATAAAATCTTGGGAATCAACCTTGGGGTAGCTCGACTTGGAAGTCTTAGTCCTACCTTTGTGTGCATTAGATGTATCTTGTGTCGCTTAACTATCTTGACTAGACCCTGGTAGTATGTCCTTCTAGTGAGAGTTCATAGAGGGTGTGACTTGGAATGTACTCCTAGACTACTCTACGTGTATGTGATGTTTTACTTGCGCTCATGCATGATGACATATAGTTCGTGTCCATTGCATAATGCATTATAATGTAACTATTATTATTTATTATGCTATGACTGAATGACTATGGTAATAATGTTTGTGTCTGTATGCTATATCTTGTATTCTTTATTTATGTTTGACTATCCAATTTGCATTCCTACACCATGAGCCAGAGTGAGATGTTTTTCACTCCTTTTGCTTTGTGTGTTTTCCTTAGTTGTTATGCAGGTGATCATCAACACGAGGTTGAAGATGAGACTTAGGCTTCAGTGTTGGGTTTTGCTTTGATAGGACACATGACATCGAGGCATAGCTAAGAATAGATTAGGATATTATTCTGTTGAATTATTTTGGAAAACATTAGTTTTATTTCCTTACAATTTCATTGATTATGTTATTTGGTTAAGTTAAAAGTGTGATACTTTCTACTAGAACATGTTTAGTTTATTTATGAAGATTATATTATTCAGTTTATTTTATTACTTGTCTTATGACATGTGGGGTAAAGGGTCTCACAACCTACAATAACAACAAGGTTCCTATGAAAGAACACCTTGGGTTTGCCTTTCTTCTAAGGAAGACCATTGCAGTTTAGAAGTTTTAGGATAAAAGGGTATCTTATGAAGCACTATTTGGATAGGGTTGGATGGACCACGTTCTTGGAGATGCAGTGTGTTAAGTCAAAAGATGATTTAAATCCCTTGAACTGAGAGTTTTAATACTAAAAAAGAAATATTTTTATAAATAAGAAATGTCTACAAAAATGTCTTTGAAAAATTTATTAAATGAAATGTAAGACACATCATCTGTGACTGCTCATGATTAATATTCTTGTATGATTAAAATGGTTTAAATTGGAATATACGCACTGCATGTTAACTTGTTTTTAAACTGATTCAATAAAGATTAATCAAGAAATCATATAGGAGTCATTCCCATATACTAAGAGGTTCAATATACTTCATTGAAAATTGGTTTTAGAAAAGTTTTAAAGAAATTAAGATCCTTAAACTCTAATAATTTTAAGTGTCAATAAATCTAATTCACCTCCCTCTTGGATTGAACCATTCTTTTCTATCACCATATACATTTGTATGTAAATATACTCTCTATAGATATATTTTTTCCTGTAAACACTCATTACTCTGTATTGGTTGTATAATGTTTAAGTGAGATGAACACAACATTTGTATAACCTTTATAACCATTGTTATAAGGTTGAGCCTAGAAAGGCTTGTCTGTAAAAGAATGCTTATTTTGAGCCTGGAGAGACTTGTTTGTAAAAAAATACTTGTTTTGAGCCTAGAGAGACTGGTATGTAAAAGAATACTTGTTTTGAACCTAGAGAAGCTTGACTATAAAAATATACTTGGTTGTTAAGCTTGGAAAGGCTTGTTGTTAAAAGAATACTTGGGTAGTTGTATGAAGAGGTAAGTCAAAGAATACTTTGAGTTGAGCCAGATGTGACTTGTTGAAAGAATACTTGTATCTTTGTTTAAAGATAGTGAAACTTGATCTAATTGAATTGAGAATTGAACGTAGTCTCGATTGTTGAGACAAACTAGTATAAAAATACCAGTATTACATCTGAATGCTCTTCGCGTTTCATTTGACTAATGTTACTACTTCACTATAAAAAACATGTTAGGTTTTAATACAGACTATTCAACCCTCCCTTCTAGTGTTAATCTTTTCTCCACACAATGCGACTGGTTCCATGCTACTTATGCCTACTTATAGGTATCAACAAGACAAGAGGCTTATGCATTAGTTGCAAAGGTAAAAAAAACCACGGTGAGGATAAATCCTTTCATTATTGCACCATCTTTGGATGAAAAAAGGAGAAGATCTCTTACTTTGGTGATTAGGAGACAACCATCATGGCAGGAACTATTGATGTGATGTTGTATTCCACCTCTCGCCCTATGTAGAAGATGGACCTGAAGAATTATCTTTGTGCGGATAACTTAAAGCCACCATGTAGACTGTTCCACAATCAGCTCTTCAACACATTCATCCCTAGGTCTAGTTCCAAGGATAATGTCTCTAATGTGGATAGATTCTGCATGTATCATCTTTGCCTTGGTGTGAAGATCAACTTACCCACTTTGGTTTACAACCACTATAAGTCCTGTCTCGGACAACGAAACTAGGAATGTAGCAAGCGAACACTCATTCCCTTTGGGATGCTCTTTGATATACAACATATGCTCTGATATGAAAAAATAATTTGATACATTCTCTTTGATAGGTTTTGAAATGAATAAGCATGCTAATATACATACCTGCTCAATTATTAATAATGTTATGATATGATCAATAAGGTCAAAAGAATACGCCAAATATACATGTCTTAAATGAATGTATGCGTAAAATCAAATTGCTTGTATGATCTTATACACAATGTTCGAGAGATGGACTCTTATACTAGTCTAATGATATTATAACACTTCCACGTCTTGAAGAAAATCACATTTTTGGATAAAATTGATTTTCTCAAATTAAGTTATTTTATAATAATGATTTCGTCTTATTCAACAAAAATATTTTCCAAGTCAAGAAAAACCTTAATTTCAAAAATGTGTTTGTCACCATAAAAATGATGAGATTGTTAAGTCAAAAGACGATCTTAGATCCCTTAAGCTTTCATGTTTTAATGCTAACAAATAGAACTTTTTTTCTAAGAGAGAATGTTTTTGCAAAATACAAATCAAATGAAGCATAAAGATGCAAATTATTAGACAAATGATGTGTCATCAAACAAAACATATAGTTTGACT